TCGGGTTAGATGGTCTTGACTACAACACTATCGTTTGTACCTTTTGAAGGAAACATTTGCCACACATGGGGACAAAAATGTACTCATTAGAAACAATCCTATAAACTTTGTTTTACCTGCCATTAACCAATGGATTCAACCCTGTCTGTTAGCAAAGTATCTCATGAACCACTGGACAGATTGTAGTAAAACTGCAGAGGTTAGAGAAGGTGAGCCTATGATCGGTCACTGTTTCAACTCCCCAGACCAACAATAAAAATGTGGGTTGAAATCCCCCATTTGTCCCACTCTGGTCCCATTAGCAAGACCCATAAACTCCCCAGCTGCTTCCCAGGCACCTTAGATGGCACACATGTACATACAGTACATGTCAACTGGACTATCCATAAATTACACAGCTTTACCCCAATTTTGCAGGGATCTATAGTGAAATCTGACAGATTCTTTCAAAAACTCAGCTTCAAATTAATTTTAAGTCTCAGAGCCTGAAATAAACACTAAATAAAATAAAATAACCACCTCCCAATCCGCTCTGCCGCACTGCAGCAACGATGCTGTGCCACAAAATCAATGTTTTTCTGTCAGTTTGTGTCCTCGGACTGTTCCTTTTAGTGAGTGGGTGGAAGAAGTGTTCGGTGTCATGCCACTCCGGTACCACCGCAAACTGTTTTGTGAAAATTAACAGATTTTTGAAGATCAGAGTACAGGTAAACATCCGAAGGGGTTGACATGTATGTGTGGTGGGGAAAATGCAGAGAATTATTTTCCCCATTGGGGATTAATGTTGTTAATAATCCAGAAAAAACATTCTTCAAGCTCTTGCAGTATCGCATGAGAATTTCACATAACGTTAGTTTCAAGATTTGACTAAAATGTCTGTAAGTTTCTCAAGATAAGATGATCTTAGTTTAAAACTCTGAAATAAAAGGCAGCAGGTGAGATGTATCCCTTCAAAATAATCTTAGCTTTAATTATACCGCGACTTTGTATGGAATTGTACCAAAATAAACTGTGAGTTCATTATATTTAGAAATAGAAATCTATCTCAAAAGTTGCCTCTCTTTTGCTCTTGTCATGTTTTTGCATTGTGCTATTTAGTGACATCACAATACCAGCAATACCATGTGTGTATCATATGTTCTGTTAACGCATGGTTGAAGAGCAGTGTCTGACTTTCGTTTGTTCATTTTCATAGAATTTTTTATTTATTGTTACTTTTTGTCAGATTCTAGTAATTTCTGAGACCTTTGTGGGTTTTTCTGTCATTAAACGAGAGGTACCAACAATTTTGAGTAGTCAGAGAGGCTGTAAGCTTGTAAGGAAGTAGAGACATCTTGTTCTAAATAAAAAAAGTTTTTAAAGTCATTATGTAATGTTTAAGTTTTAATTACTCTGTATCGGCAAGTACCCAAAAGGAAGTACTTGTACTTTGAGAAAAACTGATATCGGGACACCCCTATTGCTAGCGTTGTAGGCCACAGCACAAAGCAGACAATAGCTTTTGCACTTTTACTGGGTTGCATATTTTTGTTGTTCTGCCACTGGAGTTTGTAGAAAGCGAGGGATTAAGATAAGATAAGATAAGATATTCCTTTATTAATCCCGCAGTGGGGAAATTTACATTGTTACAGCAGTATAAAAAGCAAAACCAATTTGAAAAACTATATATACACAGTAAAATCAAGTGAATATAGAAATACTAAAAAAACAGTATTATTCGAAATATAAATAAACAATTTCCAGGTTTATTGCCTGTAGTAGAGAGTGGTGAACTACTTAGAGCAGTGGGTATTGTACAGCCTGACGGCGGCTGGAAGGAAAGACCTGCGGTATCTTTCCTTCACGCACTTAGGGTGCCGCAGCCGGGTGCTGAAGGAGCTGCTCAGTGCTGTCAGAGAGAGGTGCATGGGGTGGGAAGGGTATGCCAGCATGCCCTGGAGCTTAGTCCTCATTCTCCTCTCTGCCACCACCTCCACTGGGTCAACAGGACACCCCAGGACAGAGCTGGATTTCCTGAGGATCTTGTTCAGTCTCTTCCTGTCAGCAGTGGAGATGCTGTTGCCCCAACAGACCACTCCATAGAAGATAGCTGATGCCATTAATCAGCATTAAGTTCATCATTAGTTTGTATCGAACAGCAGCAACACTTTGGTAACATCCCGCTTGTTTTGGGATCCTAAATAGGTCAAAGCGCTCAGCTTTCCCCCCTCCTCTGTTCATTTTTATGCGTTTACAGCCCAAATATAAGTTGGAGTGTGGGGGAGAGCAGTGTGTCCTGGGCATTGCTATGTGGGTCATGCATCAGTGTTGCAAGCCAGCAAACAATCTGAGACCGAGATGTGAGCGCCGCTGATTTCACGCTTGTTAGCTGATCTAAGAAATAATTTTTTTTGGCGCCCTCCCCCCMCCCCCTTTGAAGCGGGGCTGCAAATGAGCATCAACAAATCTTTTTTTTTTTTGCATCCTGTATACAATTTAATGTAGTGATGGTAGATTATACAGCGATCCACTCGGAGCAGAATAAATTCACCTGGTGTCGTTTTTATTTTTTTTGAAGTCCTTGGTGTTTTTTTGACTTCAGGTATGTTTTTTAGGGTTTAGATCCACCATATGGAGAGGAAGGACACCCAACCGTCCTTGTGCCGATAAAAGTAAAGTGTGCATTTAGTGACAAAGGTCAACCGTGTCGCTCGCTGCGGCTCATTTCCACATCTATTTAAAGCTCCAAACATGACGCATGCAGCTGCTTCAGGTAACAACCGCAGACATGAATGGCCGCTCACGATCAATAATGGCCTCTGATTAAAATCTGACAAAGCAAATCTACGGGCTGTGAGGCTCGGTGAATTCATAGGAGCTGAAAACAGTTTCTTTGGTTTCAAATGGACAAACACACGAGTGTGACACAATCTGCTGACAGCTGAAGTTCTTTGTGAAGCATGTATTTGATGCAGGTGTGTGGCTGCTGGAAATGAGCTCCCAAAATCGGATATGGTTGCAATGAAGATCAATTTGTTATTTGAGACCTTTTACTTCCTTTTCGCATTTCAAACCCAGATATTTAAATAAAAGTTGAACATCTCTATTGGACACACATTTTTGTATGGTTAAGAGGAAACTGTATTGTAACCACACATAAAAAAAAGTTATTTCTGAGCAGCTTTTTCTAACTGATCTCCTGCCGCTGCTTTTTTGTTTCTCCATTCATTCAGCAGTTTTGAGATGTTTTTTATATTTGGCTAAAAAGATCACAAATATGACACAAAATGGTTTTACTGAGTAGCTTTTTTGATAGTATTTTAACTTCAAATTTGACAAATTATGCTGGTTTGTTCCTGGTGAATGTTTGGTTGAATACACATAAAATGGAAAGGTTACATTCCCATTGCCAATGAAGTTGGGACATTGTGTAAAACGGGAAAAAAAGTGTATACATTGATGTGTAAATCACTTTCAATCATATAATAATAGTAATAGTAATGTCCGTTACAGAATGATATGGGTTTTTAATGCAGTGCTGCCTGAGGGATGGAAAGTCACAGGCATTTATTCGTGGTTTTTAGCCTTGCTGTTTAATTGCAGAGATTTGTCCACATTCTCTAAATCTTTGATAGGGACAGAGACAAGAAACATAGATCAAAACAATCTGATTCCTGCATTACAGTGTATATAGCCATAGCTAATTTGCAATGCCCATTTTGATATTATTGATTGTTGATGATGAAATCCCTAAATTCTTTGCAACTACATGTTGAGAAACGTTGTTCTATAACTGATGGACGATTTACTCACACAGTTGTTCATAAAGTGGTGAACCTCGCCCATTCTTGCTTATGCAAGACTGAGCTACTTCTTCTTCTTCTTCTTCTTCTTGGTTTCTTTTTTGGCGGTTGGGAAACAACAGTAAGGTGCATTACCGCCACCTACTGGTGTGGAGTGTGGACTGGATCAGTACTCAAATAAATAAATAAATAAATAAATAAATAAATAAATAAATAAATAAATAAATAAATAAATAAATAAATAAATAAATAAATAAATAAATAAATAAATAAATAAATAAATAAATAATATTCCTTCAAACAATCAAGTTTGTTTCAAGTATTGTATTAAAGCTTGGGTAGGCAAGACTGAGCTTTTTGAGGATGCTCCCTTTATACCCATCATCACACTCACCTGTTTCCAATTAACCTGTTTACCTGTGGAATATTCCAAACAGGTGTTTTTGATAATTCCTCAACTTTTTCAGTCTTTTGTTGCCCATGTCTCAGCTTTTTTTGAAATGTGTTGCAGGCATCAAACAAAACATGAGTGAATATTTTCAGGAAAACCACAATATTTGCATATTATTGTAAGTGGGGTTGTAGAAAAAGAAAGCAGACAGATGGACTGAGGGAGGAGTAATCAATATGCTTATAAAGGAGATAATGTGATGGATGAGATAAAAAAGGTAGGGTAGGACAAGCTCAAATGATCTAATATGAGATAAGGTGACAAAATCAGATGAGATACGATGGACAGAAACATCTGTCAATGTTTGTAACCAAAATTAGAGAAAAACAAACAAAAAAGAATATGATATTTCTGTGCATAAATTGCACTTCATCATTAAAACCTGCACAGAAGAAAACAAAGTTATATTGAGAAGGAAAACAGCAGCAATGGACTGATTGATAAAGTGATTTTAGTGGAAAAAAAATCCAAATACCTGATGTCTACATTTCATAATGCTGGAAAGAAAGAATTCACAGATGGTCAGTATGTTGTTGTGTATCAAGTAAATTACAATAAATCATATCAGTGTCTCTAGTGTCTTTGCAAGGCCAGAGAACATGCAGCAAAATATTCTTTTCTCATAGATGAAAGAATTTGTCTGTTTTCTGTGCATGTTCTTTATGAGTCAGTCAGTCATGCATCACCATAAACAGACATGTATTTAATTAGCCAATGGCACTACTAACCTATAATCACTAATATTTTATGTCTTTTTGTCTTTGCAGAATTTCATATTGCACAGCAGATAAAACTCAGGATAAGGTCTTTGCGTATGTTTCTCAGAGCCAGTTCAATGAGACTCTTGAGTGCCACGCGTTTCTTTGCCAAAAACGAAAAATAGTAAGTAACACCTGAACAACACCTGCAATACATGTGTTCAATACATATGGTTAGTCTAACTTTAAAATCAACGCTAAGGATGGTTGGAGATGGTGTTTGGCTCCACCTTGTGGCAGTCTGAATGATGCCATGAATAAAATTTAATTTTACGCCAGCATCTTAAGGAATTCTCCTAATTGAGTGAAAATAGCAACTATGAAAAAGAAAACTGGAAGGTTTACTCTCTGAAAATGGGTTTCTTGAACAAGTTTATGATTTTTGACAAAGTAAAAAAAAAGTCATAAAAATAAAATTTCTTACAAAACATCCTTGACACTATAAAATGTGATCCATATTTTCTGATGTGATTTTAGTTGTGTTACTGCTGCGTTATTGTTCCCTCTCCCCTCTCCAGGCTCAGGCTGTGACATTAACTGTAGCTCAGGCCTTTAAAGTAGCACTCGACCTTTGGGAGATTGCTCAGGAAGGTAATATAAATGGAAATCCACAAATACATTTCGGTTTGAAGCCAATTTGGCTGGGAAATTTTTCCCAAATGCTGCTTGATGAGGACATTTTGTATGTTTGACAGACAAAAGCAAGAAGGGCAGGACCTGCTGTTCCTGCGCTGCGAGCGACGGGCAGACCGAGATGATGGAAAAACAGTGTGTTCCAGCAGGTATGAGGATTTTGTATGACATAAATTTAATCTGCGTAATTTGTTACATGTCTGAGACTACAGATTGTTCACTGAAAAACTGTACATTATCTATTTAAACAGTTTTTAGCCTAACTTTACTTAACTTTGTTGCAGACAGAAAGCCGTTGTACCTCAGTCGTTTCATTATCGCCAACCTTGAAAGGTGTAAATGTTTCTGCATGTTTGTTTAGTGTGTCTGTTAGCAAAATATCTCATGAATCATTGGATAGGTTTTAATGAAACTTTCAGGAAAGAATCATTGGGCCTCATGCAAGAACATGTTCGTATTCTTCTCCTAAATTTCTCTTACTTTTGTTCGTACAAAGGGTTCGTACGAACATGTCACGTCAGATTCAACAAACTCTTCTATCTTCAAGAAACGCGCGTAAATGAGCTGCATAAATTCACCCTTTTCGTATCCAGCTGCTTGTGCACGCCTAA